TTTGGCATCCAGGAAACAATTTAACCATTCCAACTAATACAGGTGTTCATGTGTAGTGTATCAATGTGTTATTAAATAATAACTGAATGAAATAATATTACATATAAAATTAAAAACAACATCCATGTTTTGATTCTTTTTTATTTGGAACTTGATTGTGTAGTCAGCCCCCGTACTGCTGTTTGATAGTTAATGCGGCCCTCGGGCTGAAAAGTTTGGAGACCCCTGCTTTAGAACATAAATACATTTCCCATCTTTGAGACTAAATCCCCCCCCCCCTTTTTTCAATCCCATACTATTTAAATTGCTCCCTTGTAGGTTGCAAGTCCTCCTGCATTAAGTGCTGAAAAATTTGGAGACCCCTGCTTTAGAACATAAATACATTTCCCATCTTTGAGACTAAATCCCCCCCCCCCCCTTTTTTCAATCCCATACTATTTAAATTGCTCCCTTGTAGGTTGCAAGTCCTCCTGCATTAAGAGATAAAAATAATCACCTGATGAAGAATCAAATTCAAATAAACTGTTTCTTCCCAATCAATAGTTGGCTCATCTAGAGCTGGAAGCCTCTTTGAATCACGACGGTAAACTTCAACAAGTGGCTGCAAGTTAAATTTAAAAAAAAACCCCATCTCATTCATTAATTAAAGCAGTGGTGTATCAGTAATCGAAATGCAAACAAAAGCTGACAAACTTTAATTAAGAGTTCATACAACTCTATTGTAACAAGAGAGTTAAACAGTGTCAAATTTTAGATTTTACCTGAACATTACCATGCTTTGACTTCAACTCTGGGTTTTTACGAATATAAAATAGCATATCATCTCTGCTGTCATCAAGGGAAGAACTACCATTCAGAAAGTACTGTGTGAAAAGATCAGGCCAAAACTGGTTGGTGCTCAAAATCTCAAATCCATTGTCTGCAAGAGAAGAACTCATCATTAGTGAAAATATGATGGGGAGGTGGGAAGCAGCTAGGCCAGAGGTCTTTGACTTTTCTATCTGAGGAGCCATTTTTATACATTATATCTGCTGAGAAAATATTTTGCAATCCGCACATCATTAAAAAATAAGAGCTGCATCTATTCCTTGACCATTGACCTGGGCTAATGATTCCTGTCCTTTTTTTTTTTGAACAATTAAGGAATTAGACAGGGCTAATAATCTCATCTCTATAATTAATTAATCCTTTCTTCCTACCTACTGGTACCAGTTGATGAAAATATATATTGTAACTTTATGTTCATTTTTTAATCATAAAAATATAGACCTACTATGAGGATTACTTGTTTTTATTCAGTCTAAGTCTAAGAATCTCAAAAAATGCAGTAAAAAAAGGGTTTTAGTTGGAAGTGCATTTTGTGATCCGAGCAGGAGGAATTTGTTTGCATTTAAAAAACAGGGGAAAGATTATGTTACAATATCTTTAAAAAATAAAAATAATGAATAATCTTGATTTTTAAAAATTATAACAACCAGTATTACTATTATTTTTGTTAGTTATAAATTATTGCCAATTTATGTTCGGTTTTCGAGTTTCTGTGTAGGATTCCCTCCCTTTTGTTTATTCTTGGATGGTTACTAGAATTAACTTTTATTTCTTTTAATACTGGTATCTTAATAACCCGATGTTCCCACTATTCTTTTGCTGCCCTCTCGGATACTACTTTTCAGCAAAGTGCTATTTTTATTTAATTCTGTTTTTTCTGTTCGTTCGCTGACGAAGCATCCTGCCGAAACATTAAATGTTGTTTTGTTGCATTCCTTTTTTCAGGCTTTGTTTTACTAATTTCCTTTTTTAATAACCCGATGAAATGTTTTAAATTAATATTTTATTGGGTGGTTTATAATAATATTTAAAAGGAGGCTGAATTTGTCAGGCATTTTGAAAAATAGGTTTTCGTTATTTTAACAATTAAAAAAAATATTTTCATCTTTTTATTCAAAAAAAGATTTTTTCAGTACAGTAGAGTGTATAAATGCAGCACAGGAACACATGGTTTTAGGGTTCATGTTAGGCATTAGGTAATAGATTTTATGCTTACATGAAGGGGAGTAAATTTTGGGGTAAATTTACAATTAAGTTAGGGAGGGCTAAATTTAGGGGTAAATTTATGCCCAAGTTAGGGCCGAATAAATTTAGGGGGAAATTTATGCATGAGCTAGGCTAGGGATACTGACCTAGCATTCAGGTTAAGTAGAGTACCGCTAGTTGATTTTAGAATTGAAAGTGTTTCTCAAAAAATTATTTCATTAAATTGTAACGTTTTGTTCCCAATGTTTGTTTCCCTGTGTAAGTAGCTAAAGCAGCACATTCTCTCTCTTTCCCCTCTCCATTTTAGCAGATGTGTTTTTGCACTCTTTTTATTTGCAGCCACCATCTTGGTTGCCATGTCTTGTCTGCCATCATGGCAAGCAAGATGGCATCCATGGAAATTGAGTCTGTACCGAATGTAAATTTACCCAAATTAAATTACATTTACATGACATGAAATTACAATTGGTTAGATATTCATTTTACTTTTACAACAATCAGTTCAATCACAATTATTTAATAATTTGTAACAGTGAAATTAACACAAATAATTTTTAAAATGTTTGTTCCCTTTTAAACTTTTATAATATAATTAAAAAATGTATTTATTTAATTAATATTTAATTCTCTTCTTCACTGTGGTCTTAAGTCTTAAGTTCTTATCTTTTGTATTTTTTTCACTCTTTCGCTTCTTATTGTTTTTGTCTGCTGATGAAAGAAGGGTTCCAAGTGGAAACGTTTATTTTATTATACTAATTACTGTTCTATTACTATAATAGTCTATACTAAACTATTCAATAACATTTTTTTTTACTGAATTTCATTGTTTTTATTAAATTTAAATGCCTATACTTTTTACTATTTAGACTATTTTCTACATTTTCTTATTTACGACCATGTTTTGTTTTACCGGCATCAACAAGTCCTTTTCCACTTCTTCTGCGTTCCTCGCCAATTTTTGTCAACAGCTTTAGCAAAAATCTATCGGGTTCTGTTGCTGAGCCGACTTCCGCCATGTTTGCTTTAATGAGAACACAAAAAGTCACATGATCTCTTGTATCTCATCTCCCTACCCCATATATTTTCGCGAAATATTCCATACCAATGTTCATGAAAGATAAACCTTTCCGAAAACTGCCTCAATTATATTGTGATTTCGCGGGTTCAAAAAATAATAGGCCTATTCATTATTTATATAGCAAAATATAGATACAGAGACGGAGGATAAGATAACCCACGACTAAAGGGGGCGAATACTAAAAAAAAAGTAGCACACAAAATAACATCAATTACATTACATCATTGATAATGAGGCCCCCCTAGAAGCGTGAGGCCCTTGCCCAGTGTGCCCAAGCCCTAAGACGGCATTGTTTTGGGTCCCTAGTGTGAACTGCTCAGTTTTAGTTTTGTTTTTTGAAAACCCAACTGCAGAGATCTGGTTTAATCTCCTACGCTTACACAATCAAGCTGCATGTTTCAGGTAACTGTCAAAATGATTGAAAGTCAGATTGCAACATTTTTGAAGTTGCTGAGGAATTGAAGAGTCTCCTGCTGAAATGTTGGGAAAGGCTTGAAGAGAAATTTGTTCCACTCATTATTCGCAGTAAGTTGAGAGATTTTGTAAGAAGCAGGTGAAAATGAAATAAAGGCTGAAGATAGCAGTATAGAGAAAAAAAAATCAATTTTCGCAATCTATGATGGTACATGAGTAACCTAACTGCAGCTTTGGCCTGTTCACTTTGAAGATTTTGAATTATTTTATTGGTGACTTTGAAATTAGTCCCTTCCTGTGACAACATAGAAAGAAGTGTCACTTATGTAAATAAATCTTCCCAGTGAAAATTGTTGATAGCGATCAGTTTGATGAGCTCACTTATGTGAAACAATTTTTGTCACCTGATAAGCTGGAAGAATGGAACTCGCAAAAAATTTCTGTAGATCAACAATTGGTGTAAATATTTCAACATTTCGGGTCAAAGCAAATGATTACGATATACTTTATGTAAATTTGCAACTACTGCTTGAGTTTTCATTCAGTCTTCGTTGCACCAATGCACCCGTAGAGCGAGTTTTCTCTCGGGTAAACAATGTTTGGACGCCTGAGAAATCGCAGATGAACAGTAATTTAACAAGGCCTCAATTTTATGATATGCTTCTTGAGAATGGGAATTTGTTAAAAGATATTCATTCTTGAAAATATTCACAACAGTCTGTAAAAAAATTATGTATAGAAATAGAAGGATATAATAAATCGTGTACAACCCTCCTTCCCCCCCCCC